TCCATAGTTGAGTCTGCTGTTTTGTTCCGGCTCTTTTCCCGTGTGTGATGGGAGTCCTGGGTAGGATGGAGGACTACCGTGCATTGGGGGAGATTGCGAACAAGGGAATCATGATGACTGAGTAATAATTCTCCATTTCACATTCAGTACTGTAGCTTGGAAGTACAGTAATGGGTACAGTTGCTACTACAGTTACCATCTGACCATATGGTATAAATAACATACATCTGCCAAGGAGGACAGACATTCCATTACAATAACAAACAATATAGGCACAGTCTTAAGAACAGATCGACAAACATCAGTTAGATATCGTCTTTCTTTTAATTTATCCAACTATTACCATATAGCACATATATGTCATATATGCTAGGCATTTACTTTGAAAACTCAAAGATGTGTGCAACTGGGTCTCTGGCAGGGGAGGTGGTTATGTAGGCAAATGATTATCATGTGATGTCATAAGTGTAACAAGTATACATTGGGTTGTCGGAAAAGCCATGACGTATTTTGTCTATGTTTTTCAAAGGCCATTTATTTATATAAAGAATAAAGATGATATATTGCCCATTTTGTTTGATAACCTTTTGCCATCTTTCAGTGAGCTTCATAATTCCTCATTCATAGAAAAACCTGTCTTTATTTGCAAAAAACTAAACAAGGTGCTGATTTACAGCCTTATCATCTGAATTAAACGTTATACCATGCAAGGAGTTTTGAAGAGAGCAAAACAAGTGGAAGTCTGATGGTGCAAGGTCAGGCAAATGTGGTGGGTGTGGCAACACATCTCATCCAAGCTCCAATAATTTTTGACGGGTGATCAATGAGCTTGCTTACGTATCCCAGCTCCTTCAAGTGGTCCTGAACACTTGAATGATGGATATTAATGTTTCTGCAATCTCTCGTGTTGTGTAACATGGGTTTGACTCGATCAATGCCTTTATTTTGTTGTCGTCAACCTCGGTGGGCCTCCCTGACTGAGGAGCGTCATTGAGATCAAAATCACCAGCATGGAATTTTGTGAACCATCGTTGGCACTGACGTTCTTGTAGAGCATTGTCACCGTAAAATTTATGCAACTTTTCACAAGCTTGAAGCACATTCTTCCCTTTATGGGAGTAAAACAGTAAAATATGGCAAAATGCAGAGTTTGGTCTTCCATATTCAACTTGTTGTAAAATCTCCAAAACTCAAACCAAATTGCTCAATTTTTTTTAGAATGAAGCTAGAACTGTCAGCTGTCAAGTGACATAGCAATAACATAGATGCAAATGACTCTAGTACTTCCAAAAATGAACTAGTGCCATCTGTCGCAAACATGCGTCATGACTTTTCCGACAACCCAATACAAGGTGTCACAAAAGTTCAGAAGGAGAAACATACCTAACTCTTGGAATCCAGGGATGAAGTCAGGAGACAATCACAGAAAAGATGATCTTTGAGTTTGAGTATGAGGTGTTGGTAGGAAATAGGTGGTTAAGAGAATAGACTCTAGCCACACTGTCTGTATTTATGTCCCAGCTCTACTACATACCAGCTGAGGAAACTTAGGCATGTTATTTAACCTCCTGTGCTTCAGTTTCTTCCTCTGTATAATGGGCATAATCACTGGGCATCACTCATAGGGTTGAAGTGAGGATTATGTGAGTTAGTATGTATTTACATTTTTTAAATGTAAAAACAGTGCATGGTACATGGAAAGCCCTCAGTCAGTGTTAGCTCGTATACCAGGGATAGCAGAATGAGAAAGCAAGGAGACATAAATGAGCAGGCAGGCTTGGATTTTTAAAAACTCACATATGAGGTACATTTGTGTGGAAGGAAGTGGGAAATGGCAAGGTGAGTGAACAGATTATGGGGAGAGAGCCTCATAGGCCACACCAAAGAGGTTCATGTTTATGGAGCCGCTGGAGAATTTTAAGGAACAGATTCAGGTTTGTATTATAGAAAGACAATTCTGCAACAGTGGGGAAAGGGTAGAGGCCAGAAGATTAGTTAAGAAGTTACTGATGAGATGAGAAGAGATACGATGAAGGCTTGGTCAAGGGATGGGTAGAGTACAGATTCAAAGTTATTTAGGAGGTAAAACTGGTGAGTCTTGGTGACTGATTAGATTAAGCGGTATTGGGTAGAGGGAGTGGATGACTTGGATTTCTAGTTTGGGTGGTTTGGTAAAAAGACAGGAGGAAAAGCAGGTTTGGGGATAATGTTTTGGATTTGTCAACATTGACGGGCCTCTAGAATGACCAAAATTTGTGTTTAGCCACTTAAGAGCTGGAAGTCAAGCTTTAGGACTCCGCAGGGTGGAAGTAGTAGTTGACATTGTGGGAATGTGAATGAGAATATGACACAGGTTTATACAGGAAGAGATTCAGTGACGGTTCTGGAAAGCCCAGCATTTAAGAACCGAAGGTTTCATTTCTGAGGCAGCAAAGGAGAGTGGTCACAAAGGAAGGAGGAAATATGGAAGAAAGTGGATCATGGAGAATGATGGAGAGGAGACTTGAGAGTGTTTCAAGCGCAGGAGAGATTTCAAGTAGAATAACTAAGAATCATCTGCTGGAAATGGCAATTAGGAAAAAGCTTAAGAAAACCCATGAGCTATTATTACTTTAGTGAAATGTAACAGTGTGGGTGGGGAAAGAGACACTGAATCTTTGTCAAGACCCTAGATGTTGGTTACTACATCAGTCAGATGCTAAGTAAATTCCTGGAGAACATCCATAGATGTGTTGCAGCCTCAGGCTTGCTGCATGAGGCAGATCTGACCTTTTCTCACTGAGCTGATTTCCCAGAGCCTAGCAAGGAGCTTGGCACATTAGTATGTGCCCACTAAAGGCTGATGGAAAGAATGGATGAATGGTGTGTGTTGGCCAGGGATCTCGGTCTTGGTAGAGTCCTGGTAGCTCCTGATATATGGCTAGCTACAGAAACTATTATAAGCCCCCCCCCGCCCAGAAGTTGCCAAAGAAGTTCTGTTACTTTGATAAGAACGTCAAAGTTAAGTTATAAGGGCTGATCTGGTAGCTTATGTCTGTGTTGGAAGGAAAAGGGTGTCTGTGACCACGGTGATAATAGATGAGGGTGATGACACCCCCAGTTAGGTTGATTCTGTTCTGAAACACATATTAACTTTTGGCTCAGTCTCATTTGTGATTTTCTGATGTTTGCTTTATTACTTTGTTTTCTTATTCCCTTCTTTCATGTGTGCAAGTGTCTCATCTCTCTAATGGGATAGTCAATTTCTTAAGGGCCGGGACCACTCCAAAGAGACTTTTTGTACTCCGTGCACCACGAACTTGTCCACTTGACCCCCCCCCCGCCCCCCAGCTCAGAATCCTGGTACCCTCAGCCTCACCAGACTTAGAACCAAGAATAAATAGGTCAAGCCTGGGCTTTCCGCCTGGCCCGACATCCGTCAACCCTGTGAAAAAAAATGTTCGTTACTTCCCAAAACTTATCCTAGGAAGGTTGAACTGAGTGGATCATGACAAGCCATCAGTGGCGCCGATACTGCCAGTCCCACCACGAGCTGCATGCGTGGGGCCTTGGACACCCCCCGTCCTTCTGCCCCGGAACCCTAGGGCTACCCTACTGGTCTCCCCGTGGACACTTCGGTCTGGGAAGGAGCCTGGGCCACAGCCAAGGGCATTCATTCCAACGGCTACACGAAGGTCTCCTGCGGTGTTGTCTACCGGGGGACCTGAAGCATCCAGACACTGGGACGTGCGGGCGAGGGGAGAACACACGCGGTGGTGTTTTCACTCTTTTCTTTTCTTTCTTTTTCTTTTTTTTTTTTTTTTGGTATTTATGGGGAGGGTGGTCTGGGACGGATTTCGCGCCTCCGTCTTACGCCTTCCAGCCGCTCGCGGCCGCCCGCGCCGGTCCCCGCGCCAGCCCGCGTAGACACGGCCAGGCGGTGGGGGGGGACCCCGGCGCCCGGGGGAAGCCCCGCGCGGGGCTCCCGGCGTCCGCCCCCGTCCCTCCGCCTCCCCGAGGCCCGGGGCTGCCTCCTCGGGCCGCGCCGGGGCCGCCCGCACTGCGCATGAGCGGGAGCCGGGCGAGCCCGTGAGAGGAGCCGCCGCCGCCGCCGCCGTCCATTCGCTGCGGAGCCGGAGGAGGAGGGGAGAGGCCTG